AAAATCTTATCACCTTAGCCACGCAAGTCTTTGTAGGAACCAATGTTGGATCAATTGATCCCTTTATTATCTTCTTTGAGACTTTTGTGAATTCGTCTGGCCAAGCTACCATAACGTCTTTGCTTGTGTCCCAAGTACTATTTTGAAATGTAGTAGGGTCTTCACGAATAATCCAACGTGTTTCACCGATCTCGCTCGATGTATCACAAAACTCGAATATTGCGTACTTCATATTGTCGGAAAAAGGAAAGATTTTTGAATGTAAAAACGTTAAATATTATAAAAAGAGCGCTCTTTCTGCATCTACCGTAAAGCGCGCATAAATTTTTAAACCAGTGAGATGAAACTTGATACAATTTGTAACACGTGACCCATGCGTGAACGCACGAGATTTGCCATAGGCTCGAGAATTGCCCATGAGTCTTGGCGACCTCAAAGAAAGATCGCAGGCGAATTTTGTGACAACAAGACCAAGGCCATTTGGACGTAGCAAATTAATATTATTAAAGAAATAGAATTGAAAACTTTGAAAGCAATGTCTAGAGGACCTTATAAGCGCTATGAACATGATCCTACTATCTCTGTTCCAAGAACTACATCATTTAACAGAAGAAAACGTAAACACGAGGAGGCAGAACCGATCGGAAATATTCCCTTAGTAACAACGCGTGGCGTCTATAGTAATGATATGGTATGCGATATATTTATACTACATTTTCTGAATGGCTAGGTATACATTGTCTTTCTTAGTTTACCTTTTGATTTATTGAAAGTGACTAGTCATTGGGTTAACAATGCCTGATACATCATGTTTTGATTTCATTCATTAAACACTTAAAACTTTTCTCACATAGCCTGAAAATGTAAGTGAAAAATTAACCAATCAGAGTGAAGATGAACCTACTGGAATAAACACTAACGGCAGAACAGATGAAAGAAATAGTAGCGATGAAGAGGTAAAAGTAAATGAGTTAGCAGATATTAGATATATGGCAGCTGACACCATGCAAGCTCAAGTTACTATATGATTTTAAGTAACTACAATTTCAACACAAATTTATAATAATTTTTGTGTCATATACAATTTAGTTAGATGGAAAAGAGTCAAAAAACAGGTTGATTAAGCAACTCTCTGGCAAATAATGTACATGAGAATGAGATGAGGGTGCATTATTATTATTTTTTGTACATGTTAGCAATCAGTGAGCTAAATATTGTTGCTTATGTGAATCTCCCATAGATTTCAAATATAAGTGAAGAATCAACTGAAGAAAGTGAATATGAATCTACTGCAGAAACACCGATGGAGAGACAAATGAAAAGAACAATAGCAGTGAAGAGGTAAGAGGTTGTATATATACCAGTTATAGTGCATTTAAGTATGGCATATTATAAATATGCATGTTTATCTTTCTTTTTTATTAAGCAGTCCTGTTCTAATTCCATTTTCAGAGCTTAAGTGGAGAGAAAGATCCAATTTATCCAGGTTCAAATGTTACAAAAGCTGAGAGCCTCCTGCTTATCCTTTCCTTTGTTTTGAGGCATAAACTCACTGATGTAGCATTAGCAGATCTGCTGCTGCTGTTCAACACATTTTTCCCAAATACTGTTCCAGCTACCAAGCACCGATTCTATAAATCGTTCCAACCAGAGCAGTCAGAGGTATGTGTGCCATACATTATTTTTTAAATTTACAAGGTGTAAGCCATCTGGAGCAAAATATATAGGAGTAATGAAAAACATTGTGCTGCTGCCAGTACCAGTGCCACTTGTGTTCATTGGATTAAATGCATTATTATGTACAGAACTATTCTTTAACAAATTTTATCCTTTGTTATAGAAACACTTCTACTGCTCCTTCTGCAAGTCTTACCTGGGAAAAGAAAAAAACATAGAAAACTGCAGTTCATGTGGCAACATATTCAATGAAGATGACAGTGTAAAGGGAGGTCATTATTTTATGTATATTCCTCTCCAGCAACAAATTAAAACCTTGTTGTCAAATAGTAAGTTATCCCCATATCTCTTCAATAGAAACTTAGATGTTAGTTTGAAATCAAAGACTGTGAATGATATCACTACATCAGCTTTGTACAAGGAGCTTATAGTTAAGCATGGCTTTGGTCAAAACGACTTATCATTGACATGGAATACAGATGGTATTCCTATTTTCCACTCTTCTAATTATTCAGTCTGGCCTTTACAAGCTTTTGTAAATGAACTCCCTCCACACTTACGAGCTAGAAATATTATTTTGCTTGGGCTTTGGTTTGGTGGGAAACCAGTTATGAATACCTTCTTGCAACCATTCGTTCAGGAATGTAGAAAGCTTGAATCAGATGGTTTTTTCTTTGGTAATGAGGTATTGCCAAGGAAGGTATTTGCTTTGCTTTTATCTGCAGATTCTCCTGCTAGAGCAATGGTACGTAATACCAAACAGTTCAATGGTGAGAATGGGTGTGATTGGTGTGAGTTTGAAGGAGTTTGAAGGGGGTTCTAAAATAGGGTTAACCTTCCGATTCCTCCTGCAAGGACCTACCTCTTGTAATAATTTGTAGGTATCTTGATTAAATTTTTTGATTGATTGATTGAGTTACTGTTCCAACAAACAATGGTCCTCCTGTTAGATACTATCCTCACAGAACACCAGTTGTTTTGCTTACTGCCAAAAACCAAGCTGCATATGCTCTAGAGGCTACGCCTAAAGCTCCGATTAAAGGTGTGAAGGGAATGAGTTTTGCTGATCTCTTGCCCACTTTTGACACAGTCAGGGGTACAGTTGCAGACTACATGCATTCTGTGTGCCAAGGAGTTGTACGGCAAATGGTTGACCTATGGGTTAACAGCAGCAATCACAATGAAGACTATTATATTGGCCAAAAGGTCAAGTTAGTTGATGAACGTCTGCAGTTTATTAGTCCTCCAAGTGAGATTCATAGAAGCCCTCGTAGTCTTTCTCAAAGATGTTACTGGAAAGCATCAGAATGGAGGGCATTTCTCTTCTATAGCTTAATTGTACTTCGTGGAGTTCTTCCTGCTTGTTACCTAAACCACTTCTTTCTTTTTGTGTATGGCATTTACACACTTTTGGGCGACTCTATCTCTGATGAGTCAATTGTCCTTTCTGAGATTTGCCTTACAAAGTTTGTAATAAAACTTGAGGAGTTGTATGGCATTCAGCTGCAAGTTTAATGCACACTGTTTGACACATCTGGCACAATGTGTTAAAGCATGTGGTCCATTGTAGGCAACTTCTGCATTTACCTTTGAATCACACAATCATGTACTTGTCAATATGTTTCAAGGAACACAGAGTGTTCCACAGCAAATCGCACAGACGTTTTTGCTTAAAAACAAACCTGCTTCACTAGTAAATAGTTGGGTTGATGATGATTCTTCTGTGAAGGATGTTCTTGTCAGGCTGATGGATACGGCCAGGTTTACACACAACGATTCCAGTGGATTAATCCCATTAGGTTCTGCAAAATCAATTACTTTGGATGCTCATAGAATACTCGCTGTGGAGGATCTTTTAAACATAAATCTTTATAATCAAGTTGGAAACGTTTTCGAAAGATTTGTTTATAATCACCAGATATATTCTAGTGTGACCTATGTTAGATCAAAACGCCACTCAAACCACAATGTGCTGTTTAAGCATTCTGCTTTTACTTATGGAGTAATCTTAGGTCTCTTGAGTATCAAGCCATCTTGCGATTGTTCCATACTTAACTCCCAGTACTGTCAGTGCCCTTCATACAGCATAGTTCTGGTAAAACCAATGGAAGCTAGTCAAAGAATGTTGCACAGAGATGTGGATTTTAACATCTGTAGTACTTTTCTCACAGAAGTTCGAGAAACTAATTCTATAATTGCTTTATATCCTTCACAAATTGAACGGAAATGCATAAGTTTAAGTGCAGAGAACAAGTCATATTTCTGCCCACTGCCCTACCGTATTTGTGATGATTAGTAAAGTAGCTAAAGTAGGTTTGTGATTATTTAGAACTTAGGCTGTAAAAAGGGTATAAGGGATGGGAATAAAGGGTTGGAACTGACTGGGATTGGTGTGAAACCTGAGCATCTTCACATCTATAAAATGTCCCATATAGTCCCCATGTCCAATCAAACTCCTTTTGCTTTAGAGAAAAGGTGTGAAGGCGTGTGCTGGCGCCTAAAAACCAGTCTGCTCGACAGTCTTACATAAGGACTGTCCATGTCGGATCACAAGGTTACCATGTGGTATGTGTTTCCTAGGCATGCTGATGAGCCCTGACATTGGGCGAAACAGTCATTTTTGTTTGTGCCATATGTTTTCTCAAAACCCTTTTCAAAAAGAACTAAGTTTCAGTACAATTGTAAGGAATCACAGCTCGAAAAACTTCTTTATCCATTTTTTTACTAAAAAAATCCAGCTGGCAGTTTGATACTATGCTGCTATTGAATATTCTAATATCGAATATGCAACAGATTTTATTCAGAAGATAAAGGAACTATATAGAATATTCTATAGGATATTCAATAGAATGTAAAGTGCTTAAAAAATATGAATATGGGGCTATTTAACTTTTGTGTTTCTGGTAAGATGAAAACACATTTCTCGACTAATCAATATTCTATAGGATATTGTGTACAGCATATTCTATAGAGTATATTATTGGATATTTAATGTTAATGTACAATTCAATATTCTATAGGATCTGTAAAATAAGTACATTCGTTCAAGATGGTGGACTCTCAACAGCCCCGACAATCTTCATTATTCAAACCTAAATACTTTACAAATATACTCACCCGGGAGGGCAGAGTATGCTTATGCTAATTATATCACATCTTTCCCTTTTTAATAATAGCCTAAATTCTAAATAAATTAAAGTTCAAGTTACTAAGACAAAATGGTAAATGTTCTAGATAAAGCAAAGTCAAATATAAACGTAAGATAATAAGTTCATTAAACTTATAAAAATAACTAAAATTAATGTCAAATAATGTTTCTAACGTTACCACCCAAATCGTTTGGGTTTCACCACTAATCGACCACTTCTTGTAACGTACGGGCTGGTGGTCTTGACAGGTGGTCCAGGTGGTGGGGATATTTCTGGTAAGGGTAAGGGATCTGGATTCACGGTCGATGAGGCAGTGGATTGGTCAGAACCAACGGACGGTGAAACTGCATTCTCGGGAGATGACATTTCTTTGTCAACTGCCGGAGCTATAGTTTGGTCGTTACTGTCAGATCCAAGGGCTGGTCCAACTCGCAAATGCTGTCGATTGCGGCGATACTTTCTTCCATCATCCGTTTGCACTATATATGATCTTGGCGTATGGTGATGCCCCAGTACCGTCGCTGGTTTCCATTCTCTGGAATACGTCCACGGTTCTAACCGGACTTTAGCTCCAGGCTGTAGTTCTTTCAGCTCCTTACTTGCATGCTTGTTGTAGTACTTTTTCTGGTCTTCTTTAGTCTTCATTAAATATTCGGAAATACGTTGTGGGCTGGTGTTAGCAGGTTGAAGTAAACCTTCCATCACAGGCAAGTCGTTTCGCAGTCGACGTCCCATAAGTAGTTGAGCAGGAGACAGTTCAATGTTAGGTAACGGCGTTGTCCGATAGTGAAGTAGGGCTAAGTACTTATCATTATTTTTTCGCCACAAATTCTTAATAGTTATGATGGCTCTTTCTGCTTCTCCATTTGCTCTTGGAAAGTGCGGTGAGCTGGTGGTATGTTTAAAACCATACTCTTTTGCAAATTCTTGGAACTCGCGACTACTGTATTGGGGCCCATTATCAGAAATGACCTCGGCTGGAATTCCATGGACACCGAATTGGCGTTTGAGCTCGTCTACGACAGCACTACTTCTTGTAGATTCCATCTTGGTGACCTCTGGAGAACTTACTGCGGTAACACACAGAAACCAAAAATGTTCTCCACGAAATTCAAACAGATCGGTTCCTATCTTTTCCCACGGAAACTTTGGAGGGACGGTTGGTTTCAAAGGCTCTGAAGGCTGCTTCTTCGCATAATCGGCACACACGCTACAATTAGTAACCATTTCTTCAATCTGTACTGACATGCCAGGCCAAATAATACATCTCTGGCTCTTTGTCTACATTTGACTATCCCCAGATGACTCTTGTGAATTTGACGAAGCATATCTGGTCTAAGAACTCTTGGCACGATTAGGCGTGTTCCTTTAAAGAGCAACCCGTCTGCTGTTACAACTTCATCTCTGAATGTCCAGTAAGGTCTGGCTGCGACAGGAACTTGTTGTTTCGTATCCGGCCAACCACTCTTCACTAACGTAATGACGGCTTGTAGTTCCGGATCGGTTTTGGTTTCTTTCTGGAATTCCTCATATCGCTCGTCCGAAACTGCAAGAACCATATGAACTTCCTGGAATTCTGCATAATTTTCCTGTTCGCTATTTGGCAAAGATGCTCGACTCAGAGTGTCAGCCAATACTTGTTTACAGCCAGGAACATAACGGATCTCCACGTCGTATCCACGCACGTTAAGAATCATTTTCTGAAGTCGCAACGGAACCTGCGATAATGGCTTGCTGCTGATGGCTTGTAGTGGTTTATGGTCTGTCTCGACAATCACACTTCTGCCATATATACTGATGGAACTTACGACAAGCGAAGACTACTGCAAGCATTTCGGCTTCAATGGCAGCATATCTGCTCTCAGTGTCCGTAAGAGCTCGAGAAGCATAACACACTTTCCCTCTTGTAGTAACACTGCTCCTAATCCTTTGCCACTTGCATCACACTGGATTGTTACCGGTTTGGTGACATCATAATACTGTAGGACTGGTGATTGTGAGACAAGTTTCTTGATCTTCTCAAAGCTTATTTGCTGTGGTCGATCCCAGTGAAACAGTACGTCGGCTTTCTCAAGTTCTCTCAGCGGTGCATCCACTTTGGATAACCAGGAATATATCGACTTAGGAATTGCACAAATCCAAGAAACCGTTTGACGTCTTCTTTGTTATTTGGCGTTGGCATTTCTCGAATAGCTTCAACTTTCCGAGGATCCATCTTCAAGCCTCCTGCTGTGAGGAGATGCCCTACATAAGGCACTTCTGTTTGGCGAATCTTACATTTTTCTCGATTGAGCTTTAACCCTTGCGTCGATGCTCGCTCCAAGAATTTGTTCAATCGTTCATCATGCGTTTTCATCCCCGGCGACGATTACATCATCCATAATAACCTCCACACCATCTAAATCTTCAACCATTCTATCCATGGTTCTTTGGAAGATCTCTGGGGCACATTTTACCCCAAAAGGTAGCCTTGTAAATCTGTACCGTCCTATTGGTGTGTTGAAGGTACAAAGGAGTGAAGACTCTTCATCCAGCTTCAGTTGCCAGAAACCATTCTTCGCATCCAATATGCTAAAGATATTAGCACCTTCGAGACGACTGGCGACTTCATCCACAGTCTTCGGATGGTGGGACCTTTTCATGGCGGCATTCAAATCCCTCGGATCAATACACAGCCTCACTGCACCATTAGGCTTTTGAACCACGACCATCGAGTTAACCCAATCTGTCGCTTCTTCCTGTCGCACAATCACACCAAGTCTTTCCATTCTTTTAAGCTCTTCGATAACCTTTTCTCTTTGTGGAATGGGTACTTTTCTTGGAGCATGAACAACAGGGGTGGCACCTTCATTTAATTCGATATGATAACCAGGTAAACAGCCCAATCCTTTGAACAGCTCTGGGTAGTCATCCAATTCAACTTTCTCTGGTGCTGCTTTTTGACTTACAACTTGGTAAACTCTCTTCAGCAAACCAAGTTTGACACAAGTGTTTCCACTAAGGACAGATTCAACTTCAGCTTCCACAACAAAAAATTTTACATCTTCTATGTGGTCTTTATACTTTACTTTTAACACAACTTCTCCAAATGGTTTTAGTTTATGCTTGGAAAAGAAATCAAAACCATATTTGTTTTCTTCAGTGGGCGGAGAGATGTACACTTAAGGTTGTAATAGGTCTTGAGAGACATAACATTCGCTTTCGCCCCACTGTCCAACTGAAATTTAACCTTAGTACTTTCTACATCAACAGTTTCGTAAAACTGTTCGTCCTCAGATGGAATGGTTGACCCAATTGCATATACAAATAAGGATGAGTAATCATCACTATCCTCGGAACTAGTGTCCTCTTTTTTGTGTAACTGTACGTTGTTAACTGGTTTGGCTCGGCAAACCTTTGCGTAGTGATTCATCTTTTGGCATCGTCTACATTGTTGACCCATTGCTGGGCATTTCTGGTGACTTTTATCGAAAACCATCTTCCACACCTATCCTTCAACATGCTGTCCCCTTCCGCATTCGGGTTTTCTCGCTCTGTCTGCCGTTTATTTGAATATCGACGATTTCGAGGGTCCCGCTGACGATACTGTTCCTGTTTAATGGCATTAATGCTGGGGTCTTCTTCTTTTGTGAGCTTCTTTAAACTAGCTAAATTGGTTTCATGGCTTCGTCCAATTTCAATAGCCTTTTCTAATGTCAAAGTATCAGCCAAATCGATACACTTCTCACGAACCTTTATATGTTTACAACTAAACCAGATCGCATCACGAACCATACGTTCCTCGTCTCTATAACCACAATCCTTTACCAAAATCCTGAGGTCTGTTACGAAGGACTCAAAACTCTCATTCTCTCCTTGACGTCTTTCATTGAATTTCAAAGCGGCCATGATATAGTTCTTACGTGGAGTACAATAGTCCTCGAATTTCTTTAATACAATGTCTAATTTCTTTGCATCGGCGGGTTCAGCGAATGTAAATCCTTCGAATACATCAAGTCCTTTATCGCCCACCCACAATTTAACATAACTGACTTTAACGCTATCCTCTTTATCGTGTAAAGGACCTTCAAAAATACACATTGCTTGCCTATAGAATCGACGCCATTCTTGATTTAAATCTTGTGCAACCCAAGACATTTCTGGGTCTTAAATTTCGCCATTGGATACTGTGTTTTTTTTTCCGTTTACTGAACTATTATACTTAGAAAGAACTCTTCTTTCTATTTTCATACAGATTCAAGCACGATGGCTTGAATTCGGCACGGATTCATAAGGAACCTGACACCATGTAAAATAAGGACATTCGTTCAAGATGGTGGACTCTCAACAGCCCCGACAATCTTCATTATTCAAACCTAAATACTTTACAAATATACTCACCCGGGAGGGCAGAGTATGCTTATGCTAATTATATCACAGGATCTGTAGATTCTATGGAATATAAGCAATGGTAAATGCCATAGGATAAGAAGTCCTATAGAATATTCTATAGGATCTGTAGATTCTATAGATATAGGCAATGGTGAATGCTATAGGATAAGAAGTCCTATAGAATATTCTATAGAATCTGTAGATTCTATAGAATATGGCAATGGAATATGCTATAGGATACAAAGTTCTATAGAATATTCTATAGGATTTAGAATATGCTATAGCATATTCTATAGGATTCTATAGAACATTTTCGTAAGGGATGTTAGTTAATCCGCTATAATATCACAGAAGTGTAGGTTCGATTCCTGCTGGAGGACCCGAGATGCATTTTTCGCAATGTTTTTACCTCGTCCATTTCATCATCTGATAACTCAGAATCAGCATACATCTCTTCATCTTGGTCCACAATGTTATCTCCTGTTACACATACACCTTGTGATCTCACATGTCTTGAAATCACTTCAATCTTTGCTCCCTTTTGCAGTTTCAAACATTCCTTCATATTGTACTTGATAAAGTATTTATTGAGAGTTTCGACAAGGAGATTCTTGATGCTTCCATCCTCAACTTTGCCTAACCAGTTGATGTCATCAAAACCCTGTTTCTTCTCTGTTTCTCTTCTTATTCTACTTTCTTTTTTTCTCACCTCTTTAGTCATATTTTTGAAAATCAGGTCATCAAGGGCAAGTTTCACAATAGTCTCAGGGACAATGTACTTTTCTGAAAAACTAGTTATTGTTGAAGGGTCTTCGTTCTTTACTGCACCTTGTTGGAACAAATTCTTTAACTGGACCCTTGGATTGAATTGATCCACTGGTCTCGGAGCGCCATCTTTCTCACTAGGAGTATCTTTGACATGCAAGTACTTAAATTTATTTGACGTATTATCGGGAATTGGCTCCGGTATGCGGTGGCAAACAGCATCAACCCAACCAGATACAAGACAGTGTGAACATGCAGAGTTTTTATGTTTTTGACAAGCAAACTTCACAATCTCAAAGTACTTCTCACCTATTTGGGCATGATTCTTAAAAATTTCTCAACCTTTGAAAAGTAGTTGTGACCTGGAACAATAGAGTTGCTTTTCCTCTCAATGAAATCTGCCAGATATGGCTGATCCCAGTACAATAATTCATCTGTTGCACAGCTCACAAAACTCTTCATAAAACCATCAGGTGCCACTGCACAGTCAATCCTGTCTGACACTTCTTTCGCTACCTGAAATGCATAGTTGCAATTGCTTTGGCATACAGGATATTCATTAATGAAAATTATCTTTGCAGAAAGGGTAATCAAATTCAACCTCTTCATATATGCATACTTAATAACATAGCTTGTCTGACAGTCATGGCGTTCGGACGTGTATTTTCTAGCTGCGTAAAATGCAGTATATTCTCAATCTTTTTTGGATACTTACTCGCCTTCTTTTGTCTTAAACAAGGCGAGTATGTTAAAGTAATATCTGTACTGCTAAATCAATCTACGGCAGCCCAAATCGACATATCACTTTCAAACAATCTGGAAGGTCATTCTTCGCTAGCCGAATAACGTATTATGCAAACAGCACGAGATGCTTTCAATTGCATCGCCTACTAGTATTGTCGGGAGACATTCATACCAATCCTGGACCGAATACAACAACATCAAAATTGAACAAACATGTTTGTAGTGATTGCGAGAAGACCATACGAAAAAACCAGAAGGCGCTGTCCTGTGCAACGTGTCAACAATGGTCACACATGAAATGCCTCACTAGCTCAAAGGTGATTGCTGAATATTATATGTCTAATCCGAGCGAATGGTCTTGCACATTGTGCGCCTTTCCTAAGTTTAACGATTCTTATTTTGTGGAATCAAATACTGACCACTTATGTTCAACTGCGGAGCAATCTGAAAGTACGTATACCTCAGGAACTTATAACGTACATCAACATCTAGACGTTATTAAGCAAACTCATCCTAATAACTTTCGACTTGGTCATTTAAATGTCAATAGTATGGGTGGATTCAAAATGTTCGAGCTTAAGGAAATTATAGCGTCAAACTGCTTTGATATATTTATTGTTGGTGAAACTAAACTTGACGCTACTTTTCCCACCTCACAAATTGCAATCCCCAGCTACAAAGTTATACGAAAGGACAGAAACAAACATGGGGGCGGCCTTGTTGTCTATTTGCGATCAAACATTATTTCAACCCGTCTGGTCCATCTTGAATCAACATCAGTAGAAACCATTATTATCAAAATCAGCTTAGACAAGAAGTCATATCTGTTAATCGCTGCCTACAGACCACCTGGTCTGTGTAAGTCAGTTTGGTCGCCCGAAATTCAAAGAATTTTGGATGCCGTTACGATAGATTTTACTAACATATTACTCGTTGGTGATCTAAACTGTGATCTAATGAACCAAGATAACAATATAGGTTATGATGCTATGGAGCTCAAAGATATTTGTGATATTTTTGACATGGACTGTATTATAAATGAACCAACCAGAATAACAAACAAGACAAGTACTTTGCTTGATGTCATGCTTACAACATTTCCTCAAAATTTTATGGCATCGGGAACGATTGATACTCAATTAAGCGATCATAAACTTATTTATTCTGTCATGAAGACCAAGCTTGCAAGACCAAAGCCAAAAATCATCAAATATCGTAGCTATAAATCTTTTGACGCAGACAAATTTCGTGACGACCTTGTGGCAATTCCCTTTCATATCACTGCAGTTTTTGATGATCCTGACGATGTTAATTGGGCATGGAATAAGCTATTGAATAATGTAATTGAACTTCATGCCCCGTTGAAACAATGCACTATTCGTGGTGATCAAGTACCATTTATGACAAAGGAACTCCGCAAATCAATTATGACACGTAATCGCCTGCATAGAAAATTTCTTAAATCAAAATCAACGGATGACTGGGAAAATTATCGCACTCAAAGAAACCAAACCGTCACGCTACGTCGTCGTTGTATTAAACAATATTTCAAGAATAAGGCTGAAGAGGGGACTAAGAATCCATGGGCATTTTGGTCAACATTTAAACCCTTTCTACATTCAAAAAAATCATATATCCGTACAGATTTCCACCTTAAGGAGAATAATACCGTTGTTACCAATAAGACTGTAATTGCAAATATTTTGAACCAGCACTTTGTTAATGTTGCCGCAGGATTTAATACATCGACTGCTCTGCATCGTGATTTACGACAACACCCAAGTGTGAAAGCTATATATGAACATTCATTTAGCAATTCTACATTCCAATTTAATACCATCAGTCCTAACGAAGTGAATAAAGTTATTAATGATCTTAAACCCTCCAAGGCCCTAGCTCATGATAATGTCCCAGTCAAAATATTAAAGTGTGGTGCTCCAGTGTTGGCGAAACCTTTATCGGGACTGTTAAATTATCTTATTAAAAACAACAGTTTCCCTGTTGCAATGAAATGTGCAGATGTCACTCCTATTCCTAAAAACTCAAAGGCAAATACTAAAGATCAAATACGCCCAATATCAATTCTACCTGTTGTTGGCAAAATTTATGAGAAATGTCTCAACTCTCAGCTATCAGCCTATTTTAAAGATCGAATCAGCAAATATCTTTCCGCTTTTCGCAAACATCACAGCTGTCAGACTGCATTGTTACACCTTATAGAGGATTGGAAACATGAACTGGACAATGGTTCAGTTGTTGGACTTATCGTGCTTGATTTAAGTAAAGCGTTTGATTCTTTGCCTCATGATTTATTAATTGCCAAACTTCGAGCATATGGCTTTGATGAAGCAAGTCTGCAACTTATGAAATCATATTTGTCTGATCGTTACCAAAGAGTTAAGATTGATGATTGTTACTCAAATTGGGAACAGATCATAAACGGGGTTCCACAAGGATCAATACTGGGACCAATTCTCTTTAACATCTTCATAAACGACTTCTTTTATACCATTAAAAGAGCCAGTCCACATTCTTACGCAGACGATACCCAACTCTATCATTCAAGTAAGGATCCTCATATAGTGGTACATACACTTAATGAAGAGCTCACCAAAGCACATACTTGGTTTTCAAATAATGGTATGAAAGCTAACCCAGATAAATATCATGCAATGATACTCGGTAATTCATCTAATTATGATAATTTTGAAGTAGACAATTACATTATCCCTGTAGAGAAAACATCGATCTGCTTGGTATTAACTTAGATAATAAGCTAAAATTTGATAAACATATATCTAATCTTTGTCGTAAGGTTAGCTCTCAACTTGCTGTTCTAAATCGATTTAAGAACTTAATATCAAGTGATGCTAAAATGAAGATCTACAATGCCTTCATACTCTCGCATCTCAACTATTGCAGCATTGTATGGAATCATTGTGGTGCCCGGAATCAACTAAAACTAGAGAGAATTAACAAGCGTGCTTTACGTTATGTCCTTAACGATAAGACTAGCGATTACGATTCACTGTTAAACAAAAGTAACACTGTTTCACTTAAACATCGTCGCATTCAAGATATGCTTATCTTGGTCTACAAGTCCTTAAATGAAGAAGCTCCTGCTTAAGTACAAGAACTGTTGCAGAAGAGAACATACACATCTCTTCATGGTGAACTTAAATTAAAAATACCTAAAGTTAGAACTACTAAGTACGGTTTAAATTCTTTTAGATACTGTGCACCAAAGTATTGGAATG